TATAAATATATTATAATATATATATATAACCTCTATATACACTGCCAATATTCAGAGCTTTTCAGTTGCACAACTAACTTGGTTTAATAACCAATTCGAGTTCAATATTAATCTTAATTTTTGATTGCATAACTTAGGTCATACCGCAGCTAGGCAAGCTCTATGTGGGCACTCAGCAGCAGCCGCAGTTGCCCTATGCGGTGCAATCATCGCCCATCATACAGGAGCCACCGACGCCCACAATTTATGGCAATAGCACCACTGCTGCACCACAATTCCCGCAGCCGACGCAGCGACAAACACAGGACAAGCAGCAGCAGCAGCAGCAACAACAGCAACAGCCGATCTATGCCAATCAATATGAGCTGAATGTGGCCAAGGCGACGACAGCGGGCGCTGCCGCCAGCAGCGGTGGCCGACGAAATGTGGCACGTGGCTTGCAGTACCGTGAGCCGGCTGGCTACGAGGCGCTGCGTGCCGCACAGCCACCACCCAATCCCGGCATGCTGTCCATCGACAACTTCCGGCTGCTGAGCGTGCTCGGACGCGGACACTTCGGTAAGGTGATATTGTCGCAGCTGCGCAGCAACAATCAGTACTATGCGATCAAGGCCCTGAAGAAGGGCGACATCATTGCCAGGGACGAGGTGGAGTCGCTGCTCAGCGAGAAGCGCATCTTTGAGGTGGCCAATGCGATGCATCATCCGTTCTTAGTCAATTTGTATTCATGCTTCCAAACGGAGGTGAGTGTCGAGATAATTATTGATTATAATAGTATATTATAATTAAACTATGTTCTTAATTCATTGCAGCAACACGTGTGCTTTGTCATGGAATACGCCGCCGGCGGTGATCTGATGATGCACATCCATACGGATGTGTTCCTGGAGCCGCGCGCCGTGTTCTATGCCGCCTGTGTGGTGCTGGGTCTGCAGTATCTGCACGAGAACAAGATCATCTATCGGGATCTGAAGCTGGATAATTTGCTGCTCGATACGGAAGGCTATGTGAAGATCGCCGACTTTGGGCTGTGCAAGGAGGGCATGGGCTTTGGCGATCGCACGGGCACCTTCTGTGGCACACCAGAATTTCTGGCACCCGAGGTGCTGACAGAGACGTCGTACACACGCGCTGTCGACTGGTGGGGATTGGGTGTGCTCATATTTGAGATGCTCGTTGGAGAGGTGAGAATGAGACAGAGAGAGTGAAAGTTTATTTGAAATGTTTTTTTAATATTGTAAATTTGCAGTCTCCTTTCCCTGGCGACGATGAGGAGGAGGTCTTCGACTCAATTGTTAATGATGAGGTGCGCTATCCGCGCTTCCTCTCACTGGAGGCCATTGCCGTTATGCGACGGGTGAGTTAGCTGAAATTGAAATTGAAGAAAGATCATTGAGTTAACCATCATATGCCTGTAGCTGCTGCGCAAGAATCCGGAACGACGTCTGGGCTCATCCGAGCGCGATGCTGAGGATGTCAAGAAGCAAGCGTTCTTCCGCTCCATTGTTTGGGATGATCTGCTGCTGCGCAAAGTCAAGCCACCGTTTGTGCCAACCATCGTAAGATTATGATTAAATTAGGAATCCAAAAAAGGCAAACAATATTTATATAAATTTTATCCATGCAGAACCATTTGGAAGATGTCTCGAACTTTGATGAGGAATTCACGTCGGAGAAGGCGCAGCTGACGCCGCCAAAGGAGCCGCGACACTTGACCGATGAGGAGCAATTGCTATTCCAGGACTTTTCATACACGGCCGACTGGTGTTAAAGCCAACCTAAAACCCAACTACATTTAGTCTTAAATTTGGCCCTGGGCCTAGCTCAGTTAAATAAGTTGAAAACAAGAAAACAAAATGCTTTTACACATGAGAAACGATTGAATATATTATATACATTTCTATATATACATATATACACCCATATATATGTGTAAATTGTGAGAAACTTGTGCATGATTTTTGCTCAGAAGCATTGACCAAATTTGCCTAGAATATTCTACATAAATTGTAAACACCCGCATCAATCATAAACATATACATATACAATCATATTATATACAGATATACCTATATGGTTTACATATATATGTATGAATATACATAGTCTGGACAAGCACTTGGAAAGCCTTAAGGATGATGTAAATTTTTGAAAAGATTTGTATTTAAAACAAGAGAAATTTTAGAGAGCCAGGTTCTATATTTTATATATAGATGTTAGTTGAGACAGAGCGAGAGATAAAGTAAAGAAGTAAGAGAGAGCGTTATATATATACATATACCCACACAGCTATTTACAAGCGTGAGCAGACACACACACACACACACACCTATTTTCATATGAAACATACAAATCACATTAAAAATGTTGAACAAAATGAAAAGCAAGTCATAATACAAATATTATATCTTATTAAATATATATATATATACATACATACACACATACATATATTTAAAGAGCTC